ATATAGATATATATAAAATGTAGTAAAACATGACTTTGGTCTCATCTCTAAGATAGCTCATAATGTGTATGTAAATATTACAACCAAAAATATCTAAAATTGGAAACACATCTGATTTCAAGCATTTCAGATCCTCAGCCTGTATCTGTACACAGAAAAAACATTAAAGGAAACATCGAAGTGTTGATGGTGTTCTTTCTGGCAAAAGAGGATAGTGGTCTTTGTAGTTTTTTTTTATGTGCCTTCAATTTTCTCTAATGATCTTTTGTAATAAAAATTTAAGTGGGATTCCTTTTTACTGTTCAGTTTCAAACTTTCAATGAATATTCAGTGTGTATTCACCACTGAATCATTCAAATTTACAAGGCCTTACCTTATTTCCCTAAGAGAAAGCCACTTCACATTAAAATTCTAAGAAAAACCACAACAGTATTCTCAAAGAAGATTTTCTCCAAAACCTTAAAAAAAAAGTCAACAAGAGTTCCAATGAAATGCTGTTTAACTTTAACAATTAAGCTTGGTGTTCAAATTTTAAAAGTAAATCAAGTAACATTTCTCTCCAAGACTGTTTAGCAAGTATATACAGACTATAGGCTTAGTTATTTTGATAAGTAGTCATTTAAATGTTAAAATTAACTGAGTGTGGTTGCTCAAGCCTATGATTCCAGAACTTAGGAGGCAAAGGCAGGAAGACTCTGAGTTTGAAGCCAACCTAGACCATACAATTTCAGGCCAGTTTGGGCTATAGTATGAGACAATAAGCCAAAAACAAAATTTAAAAAATGTTAAAATTGCCAGCATGGTGGTGCACGCCTTTAATCCCAGCACCTGGGAGGCAGTGGCAGGTGGATCTCTGTGAGTTCAAGGCCACTCTAGTCTAAAAAGTGAGTTCCAGGCCAGCTGGGGCTATAGGGAAGACCCTGTCTCAAAAAGGCAAAAAAAAAAAAAAAAAAAAGAAAAGTTAAAATTAAGAAAATAGCTGGGCAAAGTGATTCAGGCCTGTAATCCCAGTCTTTAAGGGACAGAGACAGGAGACTAACCCCAAATTCAAGGCCAGCTTGGTTTTGACAAAAATGACACAAAACAACATAAAAACAAGGCTATCAGATGGCTCCTTGAGTAAAAGTGCTTGTTATGCAAGCTGACAACCTAAGTTAAATCCTAGGAACCCACAAAGAAAGGAGAAAATCTCACTCCTAAAACTTGTCCTCTGACAGCCACACGTATGTCATAACACACACCATGTTGTTGCACACGTGCACCCCCACACAATAATAATAATAATAATAACAATAAATAAGAAGAAAAGCATGTACACATTCTTCTGTAGCTCCTGTCTCCCTTAGGTAGACCTAACAGCCATCTTGGTAGAAAATCTAGCCATTGGACACTTTTGTATAAAATGAGAACTGTCACATGCAAATCATCCCAAATTCATACATTCATTCTTAGGGGAAGTATCCCATCATTACTGGTATCTATCACTGACTTCTTGCCAAAATCCCAACATAGCTATCCTGACCTCTGCTATTTCTCTGGGGTCCAATAACCATCAAGGTTCCAATACAAGGGAGGTGATATAACCCCCTATGTAGTAAGCTCTCTACTATAGTCTCAGGTCCCTCAGCTGTCTTGAAATCATTACCTGCCTTTACTACCCCCTCTACTGTCCTGTAAATTTTAAAAAAAACAACACTCCTAATTCTTCCATTTGGGCTCTGAGTATATCACCTTCAGTTTTTCTCACTCGGCCTTGTATTTTGAATTTCTCCTTTTCCTGTGACCTGCTTTTAAGGAGCTAAAATCATTATTCTTGGAAAAGAAAAACTAAGCAAAGTAACAATAAACCAAGAAAAATCACCATTCTCTGCTAAATTGATTATAAACTCTGGTTTCACTCCTGTCATATTACTGAAATTACTGTTCATTACTTCCCAATCAATATCTCTAGCATAGAAATACCTCCAAAGTATGAAAATCCATTCTCAACTTGTGTCAAGTCTATAAATTAAATTCCTTCAACATGGTTCTCCCATCTGCTCTTCTGAACTTACAATTCTGTACTTGCATAGGAAAACTGCAGGTAAGTTACAGAAAAGGGGATGAGGATGTAGCTCACTGGTAAACGTATTCCCTGAATATTTTGATTCCCAGCTATGAAAAAAGAGCACAAAATAGATACTGAGATTTTTCTAGTAAATTGTGACTGAATATATGGTTCTAAACGCACAAACTGATTTGGGACTGGACTTGGTGGTTCACATTTATAATTCCAACTACTCAGGAAGTGAAAGCCGAAGTATAACAATTTCAAGGCCAGCCTGGATAATTTAGCAAGATCCTGTCTTTAAAAAATACTGACAAGTGATATAACACAGTAGTAGTGTGCTTTCCTAGCATGCACAAGGCTTAATCTCCAGTACCACAAAAATAAATCTCGCAACCGAGCAACTGATGCATTCAATAGCTAATTTAATACCCTGTCAAAAAGAGCACAAAAGTAAGGTTCTGTCTTCATGCTCACACTTTCCACAACTGTTCATGTTAAAGTGCATACACTCCTGAACTGTAATAGAACACCTCCTCTGACAGTCCGTATTATCCTCTTTCACAGCACATCTTAATTACAGGACTTGAATGGAGAGAGAGGAAAACAGAGAGAGGGAAAGGGAGAGAGGGGGGAGGAGAGTGGAGGGAGTGAGATTCTCCAAAATCCTACACAATTATGTCATAAAATACACTCATGGGAAAAGGTGAATATTTCTGAGATGGAATCTCACAACTTTACTCACACTGGTCTCAATTCCTGAGCGCAAGTGATTCTCCTACCTTGGCCTCCCAAGTAATTGGGACCATATGTGTTTGACACTGCAACTATCTGGAAAATAAGTACTTTAAAAAAATGAATTATGTCCTCAGATTCACTTTTTCCTAAATCTAGACTACTGGCACGGCAACCTTTGCTACATATGAGTTTATTCTGAATAGCCCACCCATTCAACCTTAGAGGCCGTTAGGATCAGTGCTATGACTCTTAGTTAATGAAATTGCAGATACAGCCTGCAGTCTGATAAATGAGCAAGCAGAAAACTGTCATCATCACAGGCCCTTATTTAGACAGTCTGGTCATTTTCTTACCTGGTAACAAAGAGGAAGCAAAATAAAGATAAATCAAATATCTAACCACTGACAAAGTTTCTAGATGCAATAAAGTTTGTTTTACAATGAGTAAATTTTAAGTAGACTCTTCATGTTCAACTACTCATATCTGATTTATGTTGCAAATGATGTGAAGAAAAAGTGATATACACTACTCAAAAAATAAAAGAACACCCAAAATTAAACTGTGCCCACATATATGACTTAGCTGTTTACTTCTTCCTGAAATGAAATGGCTAGAAGTATATGATCTCAAATATCATCCTGTGGAAGGGCAAGAAGGCAGAACATTTCACAAGGTGAAAAGATTTAAAAAGCAAGGTAAGCCAGTTATGGTGGTTAACAGTGAGGCAAGAGCATCTCCATGAGTCTAGGACCAGCTGGGAAGACATGGTGTGGTCCAGGTCAGCCTGTGCCTTAAAAAAGCCAGAAGTCACAGGTGGTGATGCATGCCTGTAATCTCAGCACTTGAGAGATGAAGAAAGGAAGAACACAAGTTCAGGGCCATTCTCACCTACATGAGACTCTTGCCTCAAAAACCAACCAACTAACCAAACATAAAAAACAAGGTAGACTAGGAAAGAAATACCATGTGCTGTACATACTGCCAATTCTCCTTCTGTTATTTTCTGCTGAAAAAGGATACAGAGTTGGGACTCCTGCTACTCCAAGCCTTGTGAAAAGTTGGGTTGGAACGAGAGGTTTTAAATGAATCAATCAAGGTTTGGTGGGCTCTTGCCTGAAATCCTAACACTAATGAGGGTAGGGCAGGATAATTGCCTCAAGTTCCCGCCAGCTTGGACTACAGAATGAGAATCTGTCTCAAATAAACAAAAATAAATACATAAACAAGCAGACAGTAAGCAGGAAATATAATGAATGCTTCACTTAGAACAACTGGGGTTTCACTCCGGACGTGGTGGTACATGTCTTTAATCCCAGGTCTCAGGAAGCAGAGGTAGGCAGATCTCTATGAGATCAAGGCCAGCTTGGTCTACATAGTGAATTCCAGGACAACTGTGGCTATGGGAGACCCTGTTGAAAAAAAAGAAAGAAAAACTGGGTCTTAGCAAAAACCTCCCTTTCCTACCCTCATTGCCCTGTTTTGGAAAACACCCTTGACCCTACAAGATTCTTAAGGGGAAAAGAAAAAAAGAGGAAGGTAAGAAGGAAGAGGAGGAAGAGGGGGAGGGGAGGGGGAGGAGGAGGAGGAGGAGCAGAGGGAGAGAAGGAGAAAGAGACATTAGAACAAGTTGAGGAAGAGGAGGAGGTAGAAGAGAAGGAAGAGGGTGAACAGAAGTAGTTGTAACAAACATCCCCATCCACTCCATTCATTTTGGCAGTGCTTATTCTCAATTTCTCTTGCCAAATCCTTGCCCCACCAGAGGAGGCTGATTGCAAAACTGCTTAAATTTCCGGGGTATACAACTTGCTCCATTGCTTCAAAACTTAAAAATATTAAATATTCTTGTATATTATTTTCAATGCAAATAACCTTAAGTACACTTATTTTGTTAATGTTACACACGTTTGTTACATCATTTGCTAAATAGACTTCTGTTTGTTGTTCTAAGAAAGTACTGTGACCATTGATTGATAACATTGGATTGTTTAGTTCTGATCCAAGTTTCATCACTGGCTCAAAAAAGTAGTATAGGTCTGATAAGGTCTTTACTGACTAGGGTTTATGAACTTCCAATCAGCCTTTTCTCTCTGGGCCTGTTTCTTCATTTTGTAATAAAGATTTGGAATATTTGTTAAGAATCTGCAACTTCGTTTTGAAATGTGTCATAGTGATGGCATGCTGAATGATTATTAAACTACAATATTTTGTTTCCAAAGTCTATAAACTTATTGTCTAAGATCACTTTATATATGTAAATATACAGGTCAGAAAGTAAGGAGAGAGATATATACAAAACATGAAAGGATGTGATCAAACCCGTACAGCACACTACGGAGAAACCAGAATTGGACCCCTCCTCTCAATTATCCATAGCCGAACCCTTCTGGTAGTTTCTTGTTCACACACTCTGCCAGCCCCATATATACATATATATTAATATATAAATATATTGATTTATATAAATATATTATTTATATAAGCAATATATATTAATATATAAATTATATATTAATATATAAATATATACATTAATATATATGCCTCTTAAAAGTTGAGGCTATATTGAAAACATCTTCAAATCTCCTACATTAGGTGCGACACTTGAATGCTTGCATGGGACAATTCTCAAAAACACTGCCTTCCAATAAAATAATATAGATGATAAAGTCCCTGTAGAAATTATTTGCATAAATCAGTTCATCCTAAACTTGCTGTACTCCCCTCATGGATGCAAACCAGGAAGGATCTTCCAGCTTTTACATTTTGACAGAGCCTATAGAACTAAGACAAGGGGTTCATAAAGAAGGAAGAAAATATGGACTAGTTTCCAGGTTAGGGATCTAGCTTAGCTAGTAGAGTGCTTGCCTAGAAATATGAAGCTCTGTTTTCAATTCCCAGTACGGCAAAAAAAATGTATAAACTTGAATTGATTAAAATAGACTAATCTTAGCTGGACACCACACATGCTGTGCTCCCAACATCCCCAAAAGCACTGTTCAAGGTCATCCTTGATATGTAGCCAGTTTAAGGACAGACTGAGCTGCTTGGGACCTTGATCTCAAACCAAGCAGGGAAAAGAACTGACTCATTTCCTAATGGTCCACTAAAATTAGGGTTAGAATGAAGGTAAGACCGTAAGGTTACAACCTAGAAAGATGAGGTTGTAGTTTTAAAAGTAATTTCAAAAGAGCCACGGATTGATTCTGAGCTGTCTACAATCTACTCTACAGCATACCAGTGGGTTTAAGATTCTCAACGCCCTGATTGGGGGTAGGGAGTCAGGAAGAGGTTAAGAAAATCAGGAAGGGAGGCATAGTAGAGTCAGAAGAGAAACGGGGAAAAGAAAGCAAGTAGAATTAAAAAAAAAAAAGGCTGGTCTTAGGGAAAATCGAAGAGCAAAGGCTGAAAACAGGGAGGAGCAGAGAAGGAGACTGCAAATGAATGCTGGTCAAAGGAAGGTGGGGGAGGGGGCGGCCGGCAGCCTAGCCCAGAGCCGAGGACCAGGAGGAACAGGGCAGGGGCGCGACCCGGCGGCCTCGAGGGGGCCGCACCTCGGCAGGCAGTCCGCCCCTGTTCTCTGAAGCGGTACCTGTTGGTGTGGAAGCGGTGGAGCGGATCGGTGCGATGGCAGGAAGAGAGCTGGCAGCCGAAGTCGCTGATGTCCAGGCAGCCTGGTTCCTCGCTCGGGCAGGTGCCCGCCCCGCGAGGGGCTCCCAGGAATGGGAAGGGATCCTCTGGGGTTAGAAACTTCTCGTAGGAAGTGGTAGCCGACGCCTCGTCGGACATGGTGAGAGATGGGCCGGTTCGGGTTCGCTGGTCAGCGAAGGGCTGTTCCCGCGCCTGCCCCTGCCCCCACGCTAACCTGTCCGCGGTGGCTGCCGATCCCGGGAGTGCCCGCCGCAGCCGCCTGCAGCCGCCCGAGGAGTAAAGGGCCCTGCAGGGAGCCCGCTGGAGGCTCCTCAGCCCGCCTGTCAGCCAGTCTGCGCCTCCGAAGCCTCGGAAGCCGCCGCTGCTACAGCCTGGCCCAGCGAGTCACTGCGGCGCCGCCGCCCGGCCGCCCCGCCCACTGCGCTCGCTGCCCGATGCTGCTGCGGTCCGCCGGTTGGCCGCTGCCAGCGCCTTGGGCCGCCCCAGCCGCTGCCCTTGCCCCCTGCCGGAGCGGAGGAGGAACTGAACCTCGCTGGCCAAAGCCCTTGGGGATCAGCCCCTCCCTGTCCTCTATGCTGCCAACTCCGGATTCCGGATGCTGGAAGGGCCCACGCCTCAACTAACCTCTAGTTTCCTACGCTCACTCAAAGACTAAAGGATTGTAGAACAGCTACTGTAGTCCGAGAGACTTAGCCAAGGTCATACGGCGGGTGCATGAGAAAGAGTTTCAGGTGCCCTTGAACGCTGGGTCACCCTGTCCCAATTCAGTAAGTTTGTACTCAGCTCCTGCAGTGCGTGCCCAGTGCAGTTCAATGAGAAGTAGGAGAAATTGGCCAAATTAAAAAAAAAAAAAAATGTTCCGCCTCCTAAATCACTCCAAGAACCCAATTCTACAGTCACCAGGCTACTCAGAACTGCTGGACACGTAATGTTTTTTTGTGCTATGTGCTTTCATTCACATTGTGCACTCTGGAATGTGTTGCCATTTCTTTTCTGCTAATCCTTAAATCCCCTGCTCAAGCGCTATCTTCTCGGTGAAGCCTTTACTATCTCCCAAAGGAGACTTATGTACTCCCGCAGTTAAACTCTCGAAACATTGCTCCAGTTGAAACTGTTATGGAGCTTAACTTGTTCAACTTAAAATCGATTTACTAGCTATCACATAATGCTTTCTTCGTAGCTCTTCATTTTTCTCAGTATTCTAGACAAGTGATTCCAGATCGTGGACACATGTTTTTGTTTTTAATATTCAGCTTCTTAAATACCACTTTAAAAATACATAGTGTTATCCCTGGTTGTCCCTGGAATACTGGTTCCAGGATCCCCAAAGATAGGAAAATTGGTGGATACTCAAGTCCCTTATATAGAGATGTAGAATTTACATATAATCTACATACATACATCTTCCAAAATACCTTAAATCACCTCTATATTATATGAATGCTATGAAAGGTTATGATTTATTTGAAGAATAATAACAATACTTGTGGGGCTCGAGAGATGAATGGCTCAGCGGTTAAGAGCACTGACTGCTTTTGGAGAGGACCCAGGTTTGATTCCCAGCACCCACATGGCGGCTAAGAACCGACCATAACTCCAGTTCCAAGGGATCTGACACCTTCTTCTGACCTCCGAAAGCACTGCACAACATGAGGGTACTTACAGGCAGGCAGGCAATATGCTCATACACATAGAATTAAAATAATACATAAAATATTTAAAAACTATGTTTAACACGCGCGCGCGCGTGTGTGTGTGTGTGTGTGTGTGTGTGTGTGTGTGTGTCTATTTTGAGACAGGGTCTCCCTATAGCACCAGCTGGCCTGGAACTCACTATGTAGACCAGGGTGGCCTCGAACTCAGAGATCTACCTGCCTCTGCCTACCAAGTACAGGGATTAAAGGTGTGCAACACAATAGGTAGTACAATATTCAATTCAGTGGTATTTTGTTCTTATGAAAAACGTTTATTTCAGTTAAATTTAAAAAAATCTCTTAAAAGACCCTGTAATCTTTTTTTGAGGAAGTGATGTAGCATATTTTTATGAACAAAACTTTTAAAGAAATTAAAATAATTTATGGTATAATAAATATAGGCAAATAAATAAAAATAATACTAAAGAAAACTAATTGTAAAAGGTCATCCCAAAAGGAGTATTTCCAAATACACTCAGAAATACCTTATCAGACCATACAGGTGGGAGTTATTTGGGAAGGTGATCCTGATAAAAACTATCTAGCTGCATATAGTAGCCCATTCCTTTAACCCCAGCACTCAGGAGGCAGAGGCAGGTAGATCTCTGTGAGTTTGAGGCCAGCTTGGTTTACATAGAGAGGTCAGCTGGGGCTACATAGTGAGACCCTGTCTCAAAATTATTGTCTTGGCTCCCATTGTGTGATAAAATGGATTTAGTTAATTGGGATAAATATGGGTAGCTATACCAAGTCCATATAATATAATATGTATATGTTGGGGGTAAAATTGAAGGAGATGCCAGATGTCATAAAATATTCATGATTGCAAATATAAATTTTTAAAAACTGGGTAATTTTCAACCTACACTCTTTCAGTCTTTAAATTAATCTTACCTAATTCATATGTACATCTACAGTGTTTTCACCCATGGTCATAATGAGAGCTGCCATGTCTTCTGAATAATAATTGAATTGTGAAATTAGCACTGCAGGGCTTGGAGAAATGGCTCAGAAGTTAAAAGAGCACTGACTTCTCTTGAAGAGGACTCAGGTTCAGGTCCCAGCACACACCTGGCAGCTAACAACTATTCATAATTCCAGTTCAAGGGGATTTGATGTCCTCTTTTGGCTGGGACAGGCACTGCATGCACATGGAGCACTTACATACATTCAGGCAAAACACTCATACACATAAAATAAAAATAAATTAATTTAAAAAAGATATTAGCACTGCAGTGAAAATACTGCAGATATATCTTTTTTGCTGGGTTTTAGCTTAGTGGTAAAACATCACCAAGTGTAATGCCCTGGGTTCAATTCCCATCACAGCTAAATAAATAAATAAGTCTTGCTATGTAGCTAGAATAGCCTGAAGGTAATGTTCCTCCTGCCTCTACCTGCCAGTCAGTTTCTTAATTACAAACCTGTGCCACCATGCCTGGATCAGGGAGGGTGTGTGTGTGTGTGTGTGTGTGTGTGTGTGTGTGTGTGTGTATGTGTGTGTGTGTATGTGTGTGTTTATTTACTTTTTTTAAGATAGGGATTCAAATAGTACAGCCTGGCCAAGAACTTACTAAGCAGTTGATGATGGCATTGAACTCCTGATCCTCTAATCTTTGCCTATGAGTGCTGAGATCACAGGAATGTGCCACCAGGTCCATCTGATAAGGGTATATTCTTATTACTTACAAATTGGTAGTCTGGTCTGGTAATTTTTAACACTTCTATGTTAACTATGGTATTCCTACCTATCAGGTATTCTGCCAGAAATAAAATAACTAAGAGCTAATAAATAAATCAGTATATGATGCTTGCTATTATAGCAAGAACATCTATCACAAAATATTTTTAATTCAACCAAAGTTTTAACAACTGCTTCAGTCTAATAAGTTTAAGATTTTTTTCATATTCTATAG